CTTACTCCTCCTTGTTTTGGGACTCCATTTGAATGGAATATTTTTCCCATTCTTCACTTTTAGCCTGTGAATGTCTGTGCCTATGAGATGAGTCTCTTCAAATAGCATATAGTTGGATCTTATTTTTTAATACATTCTAACAATCTGTCTGTGCCTTTTAATTAGGGAGTTGAGAACATTTATATTGAGTGTTGTTATGGATAGATGATTGTTACTTCCTGACATTTTGGTTAGTTTGCTGTATTTAATTGTCTTGGTTTTCATTTAGTTAATGGTTCTCTAGTGAACTTCATATGTTTGGGAGCTGTGGGGTTTGTTTTGGGGTTCCTCTGTGTATCTTTAAGTACTCTTTGTAGTGTTGGCTCAGTAGTTATCACTTTTAGTTTATTTTTATCTGGAAAATTTTTATTCGTCCATCAATTCTGACAGATAACTTTCCAGATATAGCAATCTTGGGTACAATTTTTCCTTTCAGAGCTTTTAGAGCTTATTCCAGGCCCTTCTTGATTTTAGAGTTTGACTTGAGAGTCAGAAGTAAGCCTTTCTAGTTTTGCCTCTAAATGTGACCTGACATTTTTCTCTTCGAGCTTTTAATATTCTTCCCTTATTTTCTATGTTAGGCTTTTTAATTATGATGTATCTTGGAGAAGTTCTGATTTGATCTTGTCTATTTGAGGGGTCCGGTATACCTCCTGTATATAGATGTCTATCTCATTTTTAAGGTAGGGAAATTTTTCTGCTTCTATCACCCTGAAAAGTTTCATAATGTTTTTAGCCTGTATTTTCCTATTCTCTTCTATCATAATGACTCTCAGGTTTGATCTCTTGCTATTGTCTCAGAGTTCTTATATATTCTGATCATGGTCTTCCCCCCAACCCCATTTATTGCATACTTAGTATTTGGAGTCACGTACCCGGTCTTCAAGGCCTGAGTTCTACCTTTGAGGTTTGGAGTTCTATTTTGTTTATGATCTCTACTGTTGATGATACTTCCAATTGAATTTTGAATTTGATTCATTATGCCTTACATTTCAAGAGCTCTGATTTTTTTCTTTTTAATATCTATTTCTTTTTTGAAATGGCCTTTCACCTCCTGCATTTTCTCTCTAATTCATTCCTTAGATATTCTTTTGGTTCACTCTTTGTTTTGGTCTTTCTCTGAAATTTCATCTACTTCCATATATATGGGTTTCTTTGTTGGTTTGTGAATTTTGTGGGGAGATTTGTTTGCCTGTTTCCTCATGTTTTCAGATTGGACTTGTACATAAGTTACATTTGATTCCTCTTCCTCTTTTATACATGTGTCCACCAATGTGTAGTTATCTTTTTTGGTCTAGGGACTTCTCTCTGGTTTTTGCTGTATGAGTAGATATCTAGAAGTGGACCTGAGGCCCCCCTCTAGTTGTTTTTACTTCAGGCACAGATATTGGTTTGGGGTTTTTCTTCCTTGTATTCTATGTGTTGAAGTATTGTTGAGGCTCAAGTAGGGCTAGTTTCTGTGTTCAGTGAGAATCAAGGTTACTGAAATGTGAGCTACTCATCAGGATCTCTACTCTGTAAGCTTAAAGTATGCCTGTCATTTCACAGATCCTCTTAGAGAAACAGGGCAAGGACTAGTAATGTTAACAACCTATGTACATCCTTAAAATAAATGTCCCGTGTCTACTTGGATATCTCTGCTACTTACAGAGGAATAGTGGGGTCAGCATTTAACATCAATGCTAATAGTAAACAACTATGACCTCAATCCGACATTAACCAGCAGGTGTCTACTGTGCCATCAACTGTATTAATAATCACAACATGTGTTGGGTACAAATTACATAAACTATATAATTTTACCATATAATGGAATTATAGTTCCTTAAATGAAGACAAAATATGGTGGAAAGGCAAGAGAAAGTTTGAAGTATTTTAAAAGTGAACAAAGGAGAAGCAGGAGAAAGGAATCAGATGATGGCTATAAAGATAGGGGAATAAAAAATAACTAAAAGTAATAGTGGAAGAAAAAAGGTACAGGAAAAGTTGGTTACTAATGGTATAAGAGAATGAAGGGGTAATAAGAGGAACAAAAACTGAAGAATGTACAAAAAAACAAAAGATCTAAAGAGAACAAACCCATGTAAAATTTTACCCCACCAGCTGGGTGCAGCAGCACATGCCTGTAATCCCAGTGGCTTGAGAGGCTGAGGCGGAAGGATTGCAAGTTCAAAGCCAATCTCAGCAACTTATTGAGGTCTTAAGCAACTTAGCAAGACCCTGTCTCTAAATAAAATTAAAAATGGGCTAGCGATGTGGCTCAGTGGTTAAGCACCCCTGGGTTAAATCCCCACTACTAAAAACTAAAAACAAAACAGTGAATAAGAGAGCAATTAAAATGAATAAAAATTTATATGAACATTTATATTATATATTTTTGTACCTATCCACATTAGTGAGAACACTAACACCCCCACCCCACCCCCCACTTACACCCATACATACATACACACAATAATGCAGAATATAAAAAAGTAAAATATGTGTATACGTGTATGTGAAATAAAAATTAGAAAAGAAAAATAATTTTTTATTTTTTATTTGTTTTAATTAGTTATACAGGACAGTAGAATGATAGGATATGTCCTTTATGCTTTTGGATAGAGTACTGTATGAATGTCAGTTAGATCAATTAATATGCTACTTATGTCCTTTATATGCTTACTGACTTTCTGCATTTGATCTATCAGTATTCAGGCGGGTTGAAGTCTTTAATTGTAATGTAGATTGGTCATTTTCTCCTTTCATATCTTTCAGTTTTTTCCTAATGCATTTCAACAGCCTTGTTAGATGCATACTGTTTTAGATTGCATCTTTTTCTAGTATGAATTTGAATCCATCTAATGAACTCTTAACTTCAGATACTGTGTTTTTTAGCTCTGATATGCCCACTGCATGTGTGTATATATGTGTAAGAAGTCTCCAGCATCATCCTAGGTGGAGTGAGTCCCTAGAATGACTCAGCATATAGTCATTCTTAATGGCTGTATTTTAGTACATATGAAAAGGATATAAGCATAATGAGCAAGATTCTAAGAGCTTTCTACCAGTGGAGTCTTAAAGAACACACTTAAGTCCTCTAGCCATGACTCATGAAATACATACCAAGAAAGCCCAAAGATACTTGGCACCCAGAGTTTTTGTCAGGCACTGGTTATATAGGTACTGTCTAGTATTGTTGCCAAAAGCTTGGTCCTTGTTCCCAATGCCAATCTTAATAATGAAGACATGGTTTTGAGAAAAAGGAAAAAGAAGGTTTATTGCTTTGCTAGCAAGGAGAAACACAGGGGACTCCTGTCCCAAAGGCTGTGATTCTGCCCATCAGCAGGAATAGGGGGATTTTAAAAGAGGTGATTCAAAGGCTACATTCCACATTTTCTCTGTCTGGAACTGTAATTCACTTGTTAATTTGAAAGAGAGTCATTTCTGAGATCTTCTGGTACCATCTCCAAAGTCTGGATTACTTCATTCCTATGGTGGATGTTTACTCAGGGACAGGTAATTCTGCCTAGGATGGTAAAGAAAGATAATCCTATTTTCCCCTAAAATTAGGGAGGGGGAGAGATTAGGGAGGAGCTAGGGAGAAAGGAAGAGAAAGAAACATGTCCATTTTAAAAATAAGTTGTAGTGGCAGAGCAGCAAGGGTTATATTCAGAGCAAAAAGTGGACCACTGTTGTAGCATGTCCCAAAATTCTAGACTCCCAGAAGGAAAGCACATATGCAGAATAAACAATATTGTTTACATTAGCAGTTCAGGCTCAGTGGGTTGTTCTTATCAGGGAATGATAATGAAAATTCTCTTGAAATTCAAGTTCCCAGAAATCCAACAAAGGGTGACCTTTCAAAGGACATCAGTCTCAGGCCTATAGTCTTAGCCCTTTTTCTATACAACATAAATTCATTTATCTGTTGAGCTTTTACCATCCTCACATTTATTTTGTTCATATTTTCCTCTTTTTTATTGGACATATTCATCATAATTTATATTGAAGATCTTGTTTTTTAATTCCAGTATCTGGGTCACCCATGGATCTGCTTTTTTTGTTTTGTTTTTTAGTGCCAGGGTATTGTGCATGTTAGGCAAGAGCTTTAACGCTTAGCTATATTTATAGCCCTTTTAAAAATTTTATTTTGAGACAGGATCTTGTTAATAGGTTGTCTGAGCTGGCCTCAAGCTTGCCAGTCCCTTTGTGAGCCTCCCCTACATGGCTGGGATTACAGGCATATGCCACCACATCTGACTGGAGTGGCTGCTTTTATTCCCTTTTTTTCTTGGTCCCTGTTATTTCACATACCACTAATTTTTTTACTGAATATCAAATATTGTGTTATGAACAAATAAATTTGTTTCTTGGTCCCTGTTATTTCACAAACCACTAATATTTTTACTGAATATCAAATATTGTGTTATGAACAAAAAAGGATGAGCTCTGCTTGAAGAGATCATCTCCAGAAGATGATCTCTTCAAGCAGAGCTCATCCTTTTCTCTGGTGGGCAGTTAGACTGCAAGGCAGTCTTTTCAACTAATCATGGACTTCTCTTAGTCAGGGCCTGTGCCATATACATTGTAATCTCACTGTTTATTTTAACAACTGCAGATATTACTTCCTGATGAAAATTAGCATGGTAATGTAAAAGATAGTAGGAAAAAAATGTTCTCTATAATTCCAATCCACTTTGTATACACTGCCAGTTCCTGCAATATCCATCTTCTTAAGTGTTCACATGTATGTATCCTAATGAGGTCATAAGCACTTTGAGAACAGGAACCATGTTTTATGTTCGCCTCAGTAATATTTATAGCAACTAGGACAGTCCTTAGTGGAAACTCAATTTTTGCAAAATATATTATTCTATGTAGTAAAGCTTAAAAGGAGGTATTCTGTCATTTTTCAGTAAATTTTTTCTATACCATTTCATTCTGACTACTTCATATATAAAGGGGATATTCTCTTACAGGAGCAAGTGTCATTCAAGGATGTGTGTGTGGACTTTACCAAGGAAGAATGGAGTCTGTTGGACCCTGCTCAGAAGATACTATACAGAGATGTGATCCTGGAAAATTACAGTAACCTTGTCTCAGTTGGTGAGAATTTTTTGTTTTTAGTGTGGTTACCAATTGCATGCACTTCTCAGTTGCTGACAGTGAACAGTGAAAGCCCTGTGGTTTTCTGTTTTAAAGCTTGAGATTCATAATTTGCTGTTTTAAAGTTTGAGATTCAATGCTATGAAGTGACTGATCTTTTTAGTCTTCTATGTAAAGAATGTATTCTTATCTCTCAGTGGTTGGTTCATCTGAGCACCTTCTCTAAGCACTCCTGAAGTTATACCTTTCTTTCCCTTCATTTTTGCATTTATCCCCAAAGTAAAGCTATTTAGTCCCAGCCCTGTGTTATTTTGTCTTAACAGGGTATTGCGTTACTAAGCCAGAAGTGATCTTCAAAATAGAACAAGGAGAAGAGCCCTGGATATTAGAGAAGGAATTCCCAAGCCAGTGCCACTCAGGTGAGTTAGTGAATTCATAGGCAGATGAAGACCAGAGGAAGTTAATTTTAGGTCATTTGGTTTAGGGTTTGTACCCTTTGAAGGTCTTGTTTTTTAATTCCAGTATCTTTGGAATGCTGGAATACTTTTTCAGAAATTTCCATTTTTAGCCTCAGACCTTTGGAAATGACCAAGAACTCCATTCTATTATCTTAATAATTCTTCTGTATGTCACTCCTCCTCATAAATGCTTTTCTTTTTCTTCAGCATTTTAGAATGATTTATTATACTCATAATCAAAAGCTAGTTGGCTTCACATTAGTTTTTTGTTGTTGTTGTTAGTTTTTTTTTTTTTACAATCATTCACCTCTCTGTTTTCTTAGGACACCTTTTGTTAGCTGGTATATATTCATGAACTACTTCCATATACCCATTTGACAAAAACATGATGATGAACACTCCCTGTGATCCAGTTATGTTTTAGGTAACACAGAATGATGTCCTGGTATCATAGAGCTTATATTACAGTGAGGGACAAACAATATGTTGGTTGGTGGTAAGTTCTGTGAAGAGAGTTCTCCCAGGGAACAGGAGACTAAAGCATATTTAGCAAGGAGATCAAAGAAATCCTTTTGATGAGGTCCCCATTAAACAGGAGACTTAATAAAGTGAGAGTACAAGCTCTGTAGATTGATGGTATTCCAGGCAGAGAGGACATCAGGTGCTATATCTCTTAGGCAAGTGTGTTCTTGGACTATTTAGATAATGACAGTGGGTGGAAGCTGGTGGGTATGGAGGAGGCTAGTAGGAGGATTTTATAAATAGTAGTAGCATGTGCCATGTAGATATAATAATTTAATTTTGAGGGATGTGAAAAACCTTCAGTTTATCTTGAGTTAATGTCAATTAGATTAAATCATCAGATCTGATTTACAGTTTAAAAGGATGTCTGACTTCTGTGTGGTGACTGTACTGAGTGGAGTGATTGGTAGGCAGGCATGAGCAAGAGAAGAGATACTAGTTAGGAGGCTATGCTGTACTCCAGAGGGGAGAGGGTGATGGCAAAAACCATGCTAGAGGTGCTGAGAATTGGTAGGTATCTTGGAGATGAGGCCACAAGTATTTGCTCTCAGAGTCAAAGAGAGGAGTCTAGCATGATTCCAATGATTCTCAAGCAACTACATAAATTAGGGAGCCATTTACTGATATAGAGAAAATTATGGAGGAGACATTATAGGGAAGTTATTATAGATTTAATTTTGGAAAAGAAAAGTTGGAGATAACTGTTAGAATCTGAGGTTGGATATGGCTAAGTGTGGTGCATGGTTGAGGTTGGAACTAGAGGTAGCCATTTAAAAGGCATCAACTTTAAATGCTGATAAGGCAGAGATGCAATCTAGAACAGAGATTGACAGAATCGTTTTTTGTAAAAGACCAGATAATAAAAGTGTTAGGCCTAAAAAGCCACATGAACTACTTACTGCTGTTCTCTTCCTTCTTCCTGTTCCTCTTCTTTCTCTCTTCCTTTCTCCTTTCTTCCTTCCTTCTCCCACCTCTTTACTCTTCTTCTTTTTCCCTTCAAAAACCTTAAAAGACCATTTCCTTGTGGTCATTGTTTGCCAGCAGCTTATCTTGAGCATGTAGGTGAGAGTAGTCCTAGTACAATACTATTTTTTGAAGGTATTAAGTCCATTTATTTGAAGAGATTGAGAAGGAACAACCTGAGCTTCACAAAAACCACAGAGCCTGTTTGCCAGGAGTTAAATACAGTCTGTTCTACCTTCTACTAGTACCTTAAATGGCAAACATGGGATCCCTACACTATTCCTTGTCATCTCTTACTGATCTTATCATACTTATGTTATTTTTCTTTCAAAACTACCTATATCTCTTCATATTCTAATTTTGCATTGATGACACTTGAAAGCAGAACAGTGTCTCTCAATGTTCTCATTTCTGACTTGGCCTAATTCCTAATTCATTTATTCATTCATTCTTCTTTTTTTGTTTTTTTTAACCTCAAGCATTTCAGTTTCTCTTTAACTAGCCTGACAAAGTAATCTATAGAAATAAATGAGATTATAGTCTCTTTTTATTGACTGTTATAATGTGGTTCTGTTTTACTTGTCTTACATTTCTTTCTTTCGATATTAAACCTTATACTATCCTATATCTTAAATTGTGATTATAAATGTTCTCTCATTTATCTAAAACCTTTTTCTTATTTACTTTGCTTTTTTTCAGATAATTAATATTATATGTGTAAAATGTTCAGACACTGCATAGTACATGGTAATGACTTCAGTCATTGTTACTATTTCACTTGTTTTAAGTCATAACAATTTTTTGCCATTAATAGACCATATTTTGTGACACTATTCCATCAGTGGTTGTGCCTCAAAACTCAGACCTGAGTTGCTTAGGGTTTCTTTCCCTACTGAGATTTTGTTCTCTCTAAAAAAAGGACTTTTCTTAATTCTGATATTTTGGTAATTAGTGTTGACTACCTGTAGAGCCAAGTTTATGAGAAACCTTTTTTTCTTTTCCATCCATTCACAAAGCACTCTATAGTACTCTTCCTAAGTGTACTTTCCCTTCTTTTGTCCAATGTATTATATTACTATTGGTTAGAGTTTGGAAATAATCCTCATGCACATTGTTTTCCTAAGAATCATTTCAGAGGAAGCAGGGGAAACAAGACTTGTATTACCTGCCAAGAGTTAGACCCTGGTCACAACAGAGGCTTAGCATTGAGCAGGGGATTTTTTATGTTACGGGGAATTATATGAACAGTAGCTTCTTTTAAAGAATAAAGCAGGTAGAGTCTTAAAATGGTAGGAATGTTGTAGAGATTTTTTGCTTCATTCTTTTATTATTCCTGTTGTTGTTTTAATGGAAAAAAAAAATAGCGTTGCACCGAAGGATGTCTAGATTCCAAGGAGAGAACCAAGGCTAGATTGCTTCTAATTGTGTGAAAGATGTGTTATTAGGAATTAGCAATTTACAAGAATCTGATACATAGCTAGAATGCACAGAGATGTTTTTTGTGGACTTAAGGAATGTTGGTTTGAATAGTCAATGTAAATCAGCTGGTGTAAATTTTTGTTTGCTTACTTACTTTGTTTTGGCCAGGATAATAACATCTTTGTTTGTCTTTGGGACTGTGGACTTCATAGATATTTTTGTAACATGATTAACATTGTTTCATTGATTAGCAACAGTGAAGTATATAGCCAAGAATTTTTATGATGAAGTGTACTGAAGATTTTAGTCTCATATATAGGAATGATTGTTATGGGCCCCACATGCAAATAAAAAACACACAGATGAAACTAAATATTAAACAAGTAAACCTAGAAAATCGTGGAAATAAAGGCAGACTCAACACCTAGATATAGAACATACACATGAATATTAGTGAGAGTCCCTCTACAATAATAAGTCTATGAGCAAACAGGGTATATACTTCTCTTGCCTTTGCCAAAACCTAATTCTTTCTATATTTTTCTCAGACATTCTTTTTATTGTGTGAATTTTCTGTTCTTTGAAATGAACAATCTCAGATAATCTCCATTTCTCTATTTATCATACCTCAAGTTTATTTCACTTCCTCTAACATGCATTTCCACAGCATTTTAGGGGGAAAAAAATTTCCTTGTTGATAAAATTAAAGAAAACTTCTATCAGGCCTGTGCTATCAGATCATTCTTTTCACCATGGGAAAGTTTGTGTTTATAGGACTTTAAGTTGGTGTGATGAATGGAATGGAAAAGAATGTACTCTAGTGGAAATAAATCTGTTCCAGTGATTGTGTGAGGGCTGAGGTTGCAGAGGTTGTCTGAGGGCTCCCTATTTTGTATCCAGCCAATGTAGTTTATCCTCTGAAACCCTTGCCTACTAATCTTTAGTGTCACTTTATTTCAGTGTTCAGTGTCTCTTTTGGGCTTACCTTATTGTTTTCAAGTTTCCCTATTTTTCAATTAGCCACTATAGTTCTCTGTCCTATGAATTTTATCTATCCTTTTTATATCCAGGTTGTTTGTTTGTTCCTTGTTTTTTATTTTTTTATTATGGTGCTGGGAATTGAACCCAGTGCCTCACATGTACCAGGCAAGCACTGTACCACTGAACCACATCCCCAGCCTTTCTAAGTCCAGTTTTGAAATTTGTATTTATAAAGTGTTAAATGTGTTTGCCACTTTCCTTTCCCTGACTCCACAGCAACACATTTGTATTTTCTACTCAAGTAAAGAGAGCAAAGGAAATATCTTATTTAGTTCAAACCAAGAAAATGAGTCTAAAACTAAAGAATTGACTATAGAATAGGGCATTTGTGTAAAAGTCTAAGTCCATCAGAAATGTATTAAAATATGTAAGTTGTGATTATTTTTTTTTTTCATTTCTAGAAAGAAAATGGAAATTTGATGACCTATTAGAGAACAGCCAGGAAAATCAAGATGAATACTTTTGGCAGTTCATGTTCACCAACAGTAAAACACAAAGTGTAGAAAGTGGCAGTAAAGTTAGGAAAACTTGCAGTGTGGACACAGACCCCGTTTCTTCAAGAAATTTTCATTTCAAAATATGCGACTCATGTGAAATGAGTTTGAAAAATATTTCAGGTTTAATTACTAGTAAAAGAAGCTATTCTAGAAAGAAGCCTGATGAGTTTAATGTATGTGAAAAATTACTCCTTGATAGGCATGAGAAAATTTCTGTTGGAGAGAAATCTTATAAATGTGATCAAAAAAGGAATGTTCTCAGTCATCGCCAGGATCTTACTCAGCCAATTTTTAATCAGCCTTTTGAGTATAGTGAAGATGAACAAGGCTTTAATGAAGAAGCAACCTTTTTTATAAATCAGAGGTCTCAGATAGGGGAGACACTCTGTAAATACACTGAATGTAGAAGAAACTTCATTGATGGTTTAAAGCTTAGTGTATCTCAGAGAACTCATTTGGAAATGGAGCCGCATGAATGTGGTATCTGTGGGAAGTCCTTTTATATGGATTTACGATTTGGACATCAAAAATTTCTTTCAGGAAACATTCCTTATGAATATAATGAGTATGGGGAAGTCTTCTGTGACAATTCAGCATTCATTATTCATCAGGGATACACACGAAAGATTCCCCAAGAATACAAAGTGAGTAACAAAACTTGGGAAAAGTCAACCCTCTTTAAACATCAGATAGTACATATGGGAGAAAAACCCTATGAGTACCATGAAAATGGGAATAATTTCAGCAAAAAATCTCATATTACCCAGTCTCGGAGAGCTCATTCTGGAGAAAAAACCTTTGAATGTGGTGAATGTGGCAAAACTTTCTGGGAGAAGTCAAACCTCACTCAACATCAGAGAACACACACAGGAGAGAAGCCCTATGAATGTACTGAGTGTGGAAAAGCTTTTTGCCAGAAACCACATCTTACCAACCACCAGCGAACACATACAGGAGAAAAACCCTATGAATGTAAACAATGTGGGAAAACTTTCTGTGTGAAGTCAAACCTCACTGAACATCAGAGAACACACACAGGGGAAAAGCCCTATGAATGTAGTGCATGTGGAAAATCCTTCTGCCACAGGTCAGCCCTAACTGTCCATCAGAGAACACACACAGGAGAGAAACCTTTTATATGTAATGAATGTGGAAAGTCCTTCTGTGTGAAGTCAAACCTCATTGTACATCAAAGAACTCACACTGGGGAGAAACCCTATAAATGTAATGAATGTGGGAAAACCTTCTGTGAAAAATCAGCTCTGACTAAACATCAGAGAACTCACACAGGGGAGAAGCCCTATGAGTGTACTGCATGTGGGAAGACTTTTAGTCAAAGATCAGTACTCACTAAACATCAGAGGATTCACACAAGAGTGAAAGCTCTTTCAACATCTTAAATGTTCAGAAGCTTTCAGACATCAGATTTGTTGTAAAATTTTTAAAATGAAATTAAAGAAAGCCAAAGAATGCCACAGAGTACTAGAAAAATGACATCTCATTTAAATATCTGAAAGCTTCCAAGAAAAATTGAAACTTAACTAAAGAAATTTGTCATGAGGGAAAACCTATTCATTTAATCAATGTGGTAAAAATCTTTAGAATTTATGTTGTTTGATATGTCTTCCAGATGTGATACCAAATTTTTAAATAGAATTGGTAATATTCATTTTACTTGTATTCACACTGGAATTTGAAGTTTAAAAATTGAATGGCGGTAACATTAAACATACATGTTAAGAGTCCCTGCTATTTGTAGATTTACATGAGTATGATAATGTAACTAATAAAGGGTATGCTTGATTTGCATATTAGAGCCCAACATGATTGTAAGGAGAAAATATGATCCCCTAGGTTAGTGAATTTTAAGGCATAAATATTTTCCACACTAAATACCACAGTGATTTTTATGTGTGAATGTGTGTTTGTATGTCTATATGTGTGTGTGTATATATATATGTGTGTGTGTGTGTGTACATATGTAAATACATTTGTACGTACACAACTACTCCACACATACAGTGATGTGTTAGTGTCACCTTGTACTGACTTAAAAGTGCTGCTGATTATTAAATTTTCAGGAATTTTGTAAGTCATTTGTTAAACACAGTCATTACCTAGAATTATTGTAAACTTAAACTAAAACTAAAAGCAAAGGTAACCCAAATACTCATCACTCACAACTTTCTAATAATCTTGCTGCATTTCACTGTTCTTTTTGTTATTTAGGTTATTTACATTATTGGATCCATATGGTGAGAATACTGTGTAATGGTTTGCTCCTATACACCTCTTCCCAATTCCACATTCAGTGCCATCATGTTGGTAACTTGGCCTTATTCATATTTAAACCATGGAAATTGGCAAACTCTACATAGCAGGGTATTCATTTTCTCAGAGAAACTGTTGTCCAGTGTTTACCAGCACACCTCTGTCTATATATGAAAACATATTTGGCTGATTTAAAGTACAAACCACATACCCTTTTTCCTATTTCCTGAAACAAATAAATGGCTATGCCATTATTACTGAACTGCCTCATCAGTTAAAAAAAAGCCAAAAGATGTTTTGTGAGGTTTTAACTACCTCTGAACCAGTTTGATTCTAAATACTATCAGAGACTCTTTATAGCTTGGCCAGTATATGTTTGAAGTGAAATATTATTTCACAAAGAAGCATTCTACCTACTTTTGACTGGTTCCTGGCATATATAAATGAGTATGGTTATTATTATGAAGCTATCCCTTCAATGAAGAAGTCAAAACAATATTTTTCTGAGGTTTTTGAGCTACCTCCCAATCAGTCATGTAAATTCTGTTAATAAGAATGGTATTTACACAAATTAAAGTTTAACATCACTTGTAAATGGTAATACTCAATGCACTCTAGAAATAAAAACTGGTGGTATGTAATGGAATGCCATTTTCATACTCTTGGTATTTCATTGTGGATCTCTTTAGGCATGATATATGTAACCCTAGTTCTATGTAATCCAGAAACTATGTACTTGTATTTAGTGTTAATGTCATATAGTGTTTGCCTCCTTTGTTCCTTTGTTCTCTATGCTTCTTAGGACCACATTGGTTAATAATTCTGTGACTACTTATTTCTTCCTTGCTGAGCTGAGTTTTATCACTTTGAGCTGAGTTTTTATTGTCTAGATGATTTAGGGGATAAATCCAGATTAGTTGGAATTAATCACAGAAATTCCATTCAGGTAATTTTGTTGGATGAATAGGTGAGCAAGGAGATGTTTGGAGAATAGACTGTAGTATTTTTGGGAAAAGTCTCAATGATAAAACATTGACATGACATGAGAAGATATGAGAGACATGAGAAGAGATTGTCCCTCTTCTTCTAGACTTTTTCATGTCTGTACATGATATCAGCTTATAGTTTGTGGCCCTGAAGGGCAGTAGCCTGAAGATAACAGAGCACATGTGGGAAAAGCTGGCCCAGAACTGAGATGCTCAACTCTTTCTGCAGCTGCTCTCTTCTGAAACTTTAGATTACATGAAGTAATACAGTTTCTTGTTTATTCATAGGACTGTCTGATATTTAAAGGTAAAGGCATTTTAGTTGATACAAAGGAACACTTTTCTAAGTGTTACAAGTTCTGCACCGTGATTTGAGGGAAGAATTTTTTCTGATTTGGGGATGGATGTTTGTATAAGCCAGGTTTTTTTTTTTTTTTTTTCTGATGGAAAACAGAATTTTCTATCTAAAAACATTTTAGTGGTAGATTTTTTACAATAATATGGAACAAGCGATGTTAAAACATACACTTAGAAACCATCACCTGCATGAAGCCATTCCTATTCTGAGTCTTCAGGGAACAAGGTTGGAGTCCATTTGAGAGCTCCTGTCATGGAGGATGTATTGTCACTACCAGAATTGTGGCACCAAATTGTTAGTACCTTCCTTTGAAGAACTCAACTTAGATACCTTTGCTGTTGAGCCCAGGTGGGCACAGAGAATGATGGAGAGAGAGTTTGGGTGGAGAAAATGTGGAATAAGCACAGTGGTTTGTTGTTTTTCATTTCTGTAAATTCCTATGTAAAGGCTCAGTATTAGAAATAAAGTTATTATATTAGTTGAAAGGTAAGTTTCCACTTTGTTGTGATTTTTCATATCAGCATAAGTAAATTATTTTGGAACTGAGCCCTGTAGCAGGTACATCTGCCTTTTGACATGTATGAAGCAGATGTTAAGTTAAATTGCATTGTTCATATATTTCTCTGTGGTGTTAAATGTGGTATGAGGGAAGTAGTTCTATAGTCTTCTAAAAAAACCAGCTAGGTGTCCCTATACTGTTCACCTTTTTTATTGATTTGATATGGTACTGGTGTTACCATTTACTTAGATATAAATTATCTCTATTGCTTTTGTCTGCTATATAACTTTTAAACAATTTTCTAGTAGTAGTCACATAGTTTTTACCCTAGATGGTACTGTCTTCCTGACCTGCATTTGTGTTGATCCCAAAATTAACATTTTGTTCCAAAATAAGGTTAGTGAGAACCCATCCTAGAGTACTTAACATTGTGAGGTCAACATGGACCAGACCATTTGTATACTTGTTAGCACCAGCAATCATATCAAGACTGCAATTGTACTGCAGTGTATTCAAAGTTAGCCTTTAATACACACAAGAAAATATATTTGTAAAGGAGATGGTGGTGTTAAATGCCATTAATAAAAGTTGTCAGAGAGATGGTTTTATTTTAGATAGGAAAGGAAAAGACCTCACTGAGAAGGCTACGTTAAAAGAGGAGCCAAATGGATAACTGGAAGAGTGTGTGTGTGTGTGTGTGTGTGTGTGTGTGTGTGAGAGAGAGAGAGAGAGAGAGACATAAGCATGTATAATCAATAATTGTACATAAATTTTCTTTTTCATGAAACATCCTATTTACCTATAATATGTTTTTTGTACTTCCTTTTGGGTTGTAGTACATTCTGTTAAAAGAAATACTTGTGTCCATATACTAAACTGATTTCACAACCAACAAATAGATCATCCCCAGTTCACTAGTGTGTGAAACCAAGATGTGAATTGCTGGGTCATTGATTTGTGCTTTCTAAGAGGATTAAGTAAATCACATTCTGCTTGGAAACTCCCAAGAGTCTACTTTTGGAAGTGGGCCTATTTTCTGTCTTGACTTGTCCTCCCCTTGTCTGGTGTTCTGCAGCACTTCACCCAATGGACTTGACAGGTAGTGCCATCACCTACAGGAGGGTTCAGCCCATAGGTGTCCTTGGTGCTCTCAGCTTATTGCTTATTGCTTATTGCTCTCAATAAGACTGCAGGTGTGACTGCCCTGCATCTCCAATTCTTTTATTTCCTCTGACTCTTCATCTACCACTTAGTGCCTGGCCACTGTATATCCCAACCCCATTCCTTTATCTGTGGAATGCCTCCTCCATTTCCTTTTTCTGGCCTGCTCTATATTAGAGAAGGATGCATGTGCTGCTGAGAAGTCTATTCAGTCATATATATTCTATGTATATGCATTCAAACTGGCACAACACCTGGGTTCCTGGGTCTCTAGTTTGACAATTCAACCTATAGATCTCCGAACTTGTCATCCTCCATAATCATGTAAGCCTTTTCCTTACAATGAATTTATTTATAAATATATAAAAATTTGTTTATAACAAAAAAATTTTATTATAAATATAACATATACAAGTATATTGTGAATTTTGTGGATAAATATATAAAATATATAATTTATAAACTTGTGATCTGATTTATATGCATAAAATAATTATATATGAATTTACATATAATTATATTTATACACATATATACATTTATATACCAATACATACATATATACATGCATATGCATTTATTCTTTGGAGAAACTTGACTAACAGTGTTACTATTATTACATACTAAATTCTCATTATTTAACATAAAATTTATATCTGCTCTTATTCAGCAAAAGAACTGAATCTTTGAAAATATAAAACCATGTTGAAAATTTGGAATGCTATGCCATAATATGCTTCATCTTTTTTATGATATGCGATTTGTATCTCTCATCATTCACATAAACATCCATTCTGTAAATTTCTATATTCCTTTACATAGACTCTGCCCATTTATTTCTAGATATTTTTTCCTTTGGACTTATAAATATCTCTACTATATTATGAATATAATAGAGGCATTTTGTAATAACATATATTTACCAATAAAGATCTTCACTCTGTGCTGTTTAGTGAAGATTGTTAAAACACTATCTAGACTTCATCCTTTCAAGACATGGTTCTATGCAGAGAATTGGGAGTTTGTGCACTTTGGGGTTGGCGTTGTTATTTAGTTCTGTGGAATTTGGTAGTTGTAAAAATGTCAGAGGTTGCACTTAAAATTCATTGAATGAGTCCAATATACTACTTTACTTTTGGATAGTATTGTTTTGTTGTATCCCCGCTCCCCCCACCCTGCCGCCCAGGTACGCTTAGCCACTGAGCTATGTTGCCAGTCCTTTTTATTTTTGTTTTATGGTCTCACTGAGTTGCTTAGGGCCTCACAAAATTACTGAGGCTGACTTTGAATTTGTGATATTCCTATCTCAACCTACCAAGTTGCTAGGATTAGAAGCATGCACCACCATACCCTACTTGGACTGTGTTTTGTTGTTTTTTTTTTTTTTCATTTTAGTTTAATACTTATATAATTTTTTCAAGTTAGTATTTTATATCCTGGGAAATCTTGAAATAGATATACTTTTTTCTTTTTATTGACATAATAAACATTTGTGGGGCAAATGTGATAACATGTATATACATTATATAATTATCAATTCAAGATAATTAGCATTTCCCTCTCAATTCTTCTAGTTCTTCATAGAATATATAATTTGTTGTTTTTAACTTTAGTCACCCAGATGTGCTTTAGAACATTAAAACTTACTCCTCCTATCATATTTGGGTATTCATTATCCAACCTCCTCCTATTCTCTTTCCTTTCTACCCTCTAGTAATCAGTATTCTTTGTGATCAACACTTTTAGCTTCCACATGAGTGAAAACTTGTGTTCAACTTATTTAACTAACATATTTTTTTAAATATAATGAAAGAAATGAACATAAACTAAGCAAGTCCCCATGGAAGAGTGTTGAGAGTCACAGCCGAGTCGGAATGGCCCCTGGCATTTTGCCAGAAGTAATGGTTGAGAGGTGAGCCATTAAGATGATGCTGGATTGATTCAATTGTATATTAGACCTTTACTGTCTAGTAATAGGATGGCTCTTGCTGCGACCGACGCCCGCTAAGTTGGAGTTCTCATTGAGTTCTGGCGGTTCCGTGAGTGCGCGCCCGCAGCCCAGGGGAGGGATTTCCGGTTGGTGTGGTGTGTCCCGGGAGAAGGCCGCGTGCATGGCGTTCATGGGAGTGTGGAGAATAAAGGAGTTCCTGTTTTGAACCTACAAGGCTGTGTGGCGGCTGGGTTATTTGTGCCCAGCCAGACTGCGGCAGAAGAGGGGAATCTGATATCTGGAGATACCACAGTATAACTTTCAAACATCCGTTTTTTAACAACAACAACAACAAAAATCACAAGATCTACCAAAAAAAAAGTGAAGTGTTGCCCATGCAAAGGAAAAAATACATAAAAGGAAGATACCTTTGACCAGAGGTGGACTTATTGGACAAAGGCTCTAAAATGCTGTTTTAAAGATGCTCAAAGAACTGAAAGCTGATGTGGACAAAGAAAACAATGCAATAAAAGATATAAAAGATGTAGAAAAAAATTCTGAAGTAGAAAAGTACAGTAATGAGTATATTTGATAGAGGAATCCAGAAGCATATTTGAGCAGGCAGAAAAATCAGTGAACTTGAATATAGGACCTTTGACATCAAATCTGAGGCACAGAAAGAGAAAAAAAATCAAGGAAAAGTGAACAAGACCTAAGAGACCCATTGGACATCATTAAGTGAACCAACATAGCTTGAGAAAGGATTCAGAAAAGGAAGAATGGCTGAAAAGTTTCTAAATTTGATAAAATATATGAAAGAAGATAAATATGAAAGAAGCTCAATAAACTCCAAGTATGATAAAATCTAAGGCAGTCACATTGAGACACATCATAATCAAACTTTCAAAGACCATGAAATGCAGCAAGAGGGCTAGTGGTATAACTTAGTGGTAGAGTGCTTGCCTCTACCATGGCCCTCGATTTGATACCCAGCACCTCAAATGAAATAGTAAGAGGAGCAACTCATTGCATAGAAGGGATCTTCAAACAGGTTATCAGTGTCTACTCAGAGACCTTGGAGGCCGGAAGGCAGTGGGTCGATATATTCAAAGTGCTAAGGGAAAAAAACAAAAACAAGAATCTTATATCCAGAAAGATGAAGAAATTAAAACATTAAGAAATTAAGACATTCATTGATAAACAAAAACTGGGCTAGTGTTACCACAAGAAATGCTTAAGAGGGTCCTTTAAGTTGAAATAAAAGGACACTGGAGAGAAACTTGTTGCTATTAAAGAAATAAAGAGTTACTAGAGTAAAGGTAAACTATAAAAACAAGTGTTTTAACATTGGTTTCTTATCCCACTTTTTTCTTTGTGATTTAAGAGATGAATGCATAAAATAATTTTAGTCTATGTTTTTATACACACAGTGACTAAAAAAGTAATTTGTGACACCAGTAACTAAAGGGGATGGAGACAGGTTTCCTGGCAGAGTATTTTTTAGGTTCCTGAAATTAAACTAGAATAAATTAAAATTAGAATGTAATGACTTAGATTGTTAACAGCAGAAACCAGTTATAGAAAGAAAATACACAAAAATAAGAATTGAAACATTACGGAATAGCAACTAAAAATACTAATTCAGGGAATAGGTCAGAAAGCTATAAGGCATTTAGAAAACAGCACAAGGACATGTGTATGTTCCTTTTTCTCAGTAATTGTTTTAAATTAATTAAATTGTCCTCAAATTGGTAAAATGGATTAAAAGAAAAAATGGCTGAAAAGTTTCTAAATTTGATAAAATATATGAATCTAATTATGAAAGAAGTTCAATAAACTCCAAGTATGATAAAATCAAAGGCAAAGATATTGCATGTTGAAAAAAATCAAAATTA